TTTTTTTTATGAAGAGTGATACACCCTAATGCACATATGATTAATTTAAACCAAAAATTTTGTGTCATACAAAGATTTAGTAAGTAAAGTGTGGAAAATGTTCTGTATTATTCATAAAAAATTATATATCATAATTTAATCCAACGACGTAACTGCCCATGAAAAAACCACTAAACCCGTTTAAGTCATCATAAATTCTATAAACCGATTAGTCAAAGATATTTTAATACAAAAATAAATAAAAATATGTGCCAAATTATTTCAGAAAACAGTGACAACTATAAAGGATAAGGAATCAAGGTACTAAGAACATAAAGCTTTAAAATCTTCATTAGAGAAAAATGTTCCTAATTAATTATTTTTAAACAAAAATAATGACTTCAGCGGCAACCGCTTTGAAATTAGAGCACGCACGCCTACCTTATCAACCGCATACACTTACACACTCACACACAAATTATACAGGTTAATGGTAGGTACTTATAGTTGAACATTTGTCTGCTGTCGTTTGACTGCGTCCAGCCGGTGAGTGCTTTAGCACGAGGTAGTCTTGAAACAATTAAAATGCGTTTATTTTAAGAATTTGCGCATATTTTGTACATTCATACATGTATAGTATAACACACACACTACGAATTGTTTATTTTTCTTTTTTTTCAAATTGGTGCTTTAATAGCAGTCAACTTAGTTTTTTTGTTTTACTCTCTTAAACTTCGTAACATTTGTCCAAATAAAACATACAATTTTGTTTCGTTATCTCTGGAGATTTAGACATACATATGTATGTACATATATAAATAAACATATGGACAATCACATCGATTACAATCACTGTCATTAATGGCACACCAACACCTCCAAAAACTAAACGACCGACCGACCGACTGACCTCCTCCAAACGCAACACAACGGTCACCGATTTTTTTAAACTAAAGTTAGTTGGCAAAACTTTATCAGCATGCACCCAAACTAAGGAAATTGAGAGTTGCGAGCATTTGGCGAGCGTGTGTTAAGGGAGAGCAAGAGTGAGAGAGTGGGTGTGGGTGTGGGTGTGGGTTTGTGTGTGTGTCAAAAGCACTTTCTGAAGTACATAATATTCTTTTGTTTTGTTTGGCTTATTAGATGTCTTTCATTTGCTTGAAATGAGTATCGTTTATTTGTCATTGATTTTCTTATCACTTTATCACCTTATCAGCGAACGAATGAACAACATATGCGACGTTACAAAACTTCACCATACATACATATGTACAGTTGTCCACAAAATAATAGGAGTGCGATATTTTGACCAGTTTT